TTGAGAGTTGATGATTTGTAGTGGGCGAAGACGAAGACTGACCACACTTGAAAACCAAACATTTTAGGATACAACATAAAAATCGACAGATATTGGATTTCACTTTACAGAACGAGATTTTGGTCGTCGCAAATGAAGAATTTTTAACGATTCGTTAATTAACCACCAAATTGTAAATTAATTTTGGAAATTTGGAAACATTTGATTTCGGATTATTTTGATATCAAAACGAGGTGTTTGGATTGTGCATTCAGTAGCAAATGGATAATACGTAATGACTTTGTTGTCCTCATTAACCATTCAGAGAAAGTTTTCTAAATGGTCTTCAAATAATTAACTGGCTATAAGAACTGTCTCTCAATCTCGATCTTGTTCCTACTTATATTAAAACGACAATGTGCCAACGCAGTTAGAAATGGTTAGATAATTTGTAAATAGAGATGAATAACCTTTTAGAACTGTATTGCGTATTGCTCAGGTTGCTCACTTGAAAAACACGACTGAAGTAGTTACATGATGTACAAAAGCAAGCAATTAAAATTCTTTTGTACATTCAATCGTCTGTACGTATGACAGCGCCAACGGAACCAGTGGATACTACATTTAAAAAACTACATAAAAAATCACCCACTTAATCAACTTTTTCGTTTTACCTACATCTACACAATTATTATATTTACACTATAAAATGTGTAATTTTTGGAACCACTGAATCATTTCTAAGTATTCTTCCACTGATTTACAAATTCCTGCCGAAGCAGACAGAAGAAAGCCCAAAACTTGCGCGTAACTAAACGAATAATCTAAAATTGTTCCAGAAATAAATATTTTAAGTTTCTAAGTTCTTGTTCCCGGTGAAAGGTAAGACACCATAAGCAATTATGGTGTTATAATATATTGAAAATCAACACGTACAATTTTGTGTAAAGCTGGAAGAGGTAATTTTTATAGAATATTATAATCACCCGAGATAATGTTCAGTCTCTCAGAGTCTCTGAAAGTGAGACTCGAGTCTCCGTCTCTCATCGAGTCTCTCTGGTGTCGCTGAGAGAGACTGTCAAAAAATTGTTTAACGTCTCTGAACGAGAGACTCGAGTCGCTCATAGAGAGAACCTCATTTCGTATCCAGTCTCTGAACGAGAGACGTGAATCTTTGAACGAGAGACTCGAATCTCCGAATTAACAATTTTATCGTTCGAGTCTCTCATACAGAGACTGTGAGAGATCCATAAAACACCTAGGCAATAACTGAGAGACTGTGAGAGACGCTGAAAGACTCTGAGAGACTGAAATTTTTTGTCTAGGGGCATGGATGTGTGAATTTTGACCATCTGGATAGCCCCAGCAATATTTTTTAACCATTCTTTTCGGGTAGATTTATATTAATAGGAGATCAATTTCGGTTAAAGAAAATTACGTAACAATACTTTTTGATCATTTTCATTATGAAAACTTTTGTTATGTATCAAATATGTTACCAAAGACGTTACTGATATTAGTCCTCATCCCTAATAAGTCTGCATTTAGACATGCAAAAAATCCCATTGCACAAGTCAAAGCTAACACTTCCATGATACTTTTTCCAACTGTACACAAAATTGTATTCAATAAGTTCTAGTGGGCCACAGATTGAGCACATTTCGAACGTTCGCTCAACCACAATTGCTTATGGCGTCTTAGCCTTTTTCAACCGGCACTTCAGAAGATTGCGGGAGGCTGTCGATTCTTAATTTCTTTAAACTAAGGGCAAGCAGGTACTTATAAATACCCCTGTTGACCTTATTGCGACCGTTTATTCCTTTATGCGTCATTTCGACATTGAGACAGGCACAAAGGATATTTTACCTGTTCTTTTGTTCCGTTACGTAGTCGTTGGTGGAATTCGGATCGAGATATAAACTGCATGGGTCGAAAAATATTTAATAATGGACTGCAACCGAAAGAAGTCCGGTCAGAAAAAAAAAGGAGGAAACAACAAGAAAGGTTGAACAGAAAAAAAAATAACATCAGGCCGTCTTTAAAGCCCGCTGTTCTTATTATATGTATCGCTGTATGAATGATGTCGAACGCTAAGGGTGGAGAGGGAGGGATTGGATATTATCCTAGTTTTAGAATTTTTTCCCATACGTTGTTTGTTAGATGACGAAACGAAAAGGCCGTCTTATAAGTTTACGTCTTTTGAAACAGCAAAAAAAAGGCAGGCTGCGGAACTGGTAGCCACTTTGATTCTTGTGGTTTGTGGAAGTTCTCCAACATGAAGAATTCTACAAATCATACAACTTAATTTTCGAGACAAATCTGATATCAAAATATGCACATCTAAAACTTCTATCATGTTCCTTACATTGGTATTTTTAGATGAAAAACATAATATAATACAGGCCTGACGCTGTAGCTGGCGGAAATTTGAAAATGGCGTTAATGCGCGGTGGCAAAAGTAGGCAGTTTTAGGTATAACGATTGCAGGCTCTTTCTTCAGCATTCCTATCAGGGGTGTAGATTAAATATTTAAAAATAGGGATCAGTGAGCAAGTAATAGACAGACAAACAAACAGAAGAACTAATTGTTGATGTTGGTGACAGTGATAGAGATTCCCATGATGACAGTGAATGTGAAAACTAACTATAAAACAAAAGCAATAGGTTCATTTTTTTGTTTTTGGTAAGTTATGTTTCTACATTATTTTCTAGTACGCTACTGTCTTATCTGTATTAATACTATAATTTACGCCTACTGAAAGCTTATTTGTGTATCGGTTCCAAGTGACTTACCCAAATAAGTCATAAATGGGCAAGTACCTGCGCGACCGCTCGCCAGCTTCCTCCGTCCGACCTGTATCTTTCTAAACTAAACTAAAGTTTACTCGATGATACTGTACAAAATCCAATTTTGAGTACCTGCAGAACACAATAAAAACCCCGCTAAATGGTATTTCCTTTATTACCTTGACGCACCCCTAAAATTGCATGTCTTGCCAATGAATAAAGCACTAATACCGTCAACAAAAAAAAAACACCCCAAACTACGAAAAGACCTAAAGCTAAACATAAAATAATACGTCTAAGAAAGAAATAACAATCATGGACAAAGGACTAGATACCAGTGTGAGAATTGCAACTGAAATATTTACAACAAAAATATTAAAAAGCTTACGTGGAATTATTTTATATTGTTGCCATTTTTGGTCCCTGCTAGAACCTACTTTAATCAATAATAGAAGAAGGAAAATGTATTCGATCAAGATAATTTTTAGTTCTCTATGTCTCATTGGGTGGGCGGTACGGACACGTTACATTAGGGGTTAATAACCGATGACCTATATATAAACTCGGTAACTTCAGAGTAATAAAAGAGAGAATCTCAATTCTCTTGGGGTTGCGCACACAGTCTGTTCAGTTACGTTCATGGCAGCCAACAGTAAGTTGGCCCTATTTTGAAAAAGTTGAAACGCAGTCATAAATTAAGCAGGGAGAGTAGATAATTACAGTTTCAGACAATTTTATTATAGCAGAAAACTTACGTCTACATTTTTATCATGCAGATAGTTTTAAAAAGTACGCAATAGCATAGTTGCAATTTCGTTTTTCAAAATCTCTTCAACTTTATTAGAACACTGCAAGATATTATTTGATTAGTCCCCTCTATCGGGCTAATAATCAAGCAGAGGACAATGGATAGTTCAAGTTTATTGTAGATGATCATTGTAAACTTTTAGCCACTGACATGGCAAAACAGGGTAATCATACCTTTTTGTATCATAAGCACCCTAAACGACATGTTTCATGTAAATACCACAAGTAAATTCATACGTGCCCCCATTACCAAAAGATCATTATAGACTCCGTGTCATTGACGTGACAAGCCACAGTGATCATGCTCTTTTACGCCATAAGCGCCCAAAGCGATATATTCTGTGTAAATGTAACTTCTTATGTTAGGCGATTGCATACATGTTCCCATTACTGAAGGATCATTATAGATGCCGAACCAACGGCATGACAAACCACAGTAAAAATACTATTTTTATCATTATAGACTCCGATTGACTGACATGCAAGTGGTAGTTTTAAGCGAAATATCGACATGACAAACCACAGTAGTAATACCATTTTTATCATTAAAGTCTCCGATTTATTGACATGGAAAACAGTAGTGTCATGCTTCTTTACACCGTAAGCGCCTTTAGTGATATGTCTTATATAAATGTAACTAGTTGTGACAGACAACAACATACATGTCCCCTATTACTGAAGGATCATTGTAGGCTGTCAGTCTTAGACATGAAAAATGCACGACAGGCGCCTTAAGCGATGTGTTTGTTAATGTCAGACAAATGCATACGTATTTCTTATTACTAAAGGATCATTATAGACTCCGAACCATCGGCATGACAAACTACAGTAATAATACCATTTTTATCATTAAAGTCTCCGATTTATTGACATGGTAAGCAGTAGTAATCATGCTTCTTTGCACCAAAAATGCCTTTAGTGATATGTGTTATAAAAATGTAACTAGTTGTGACAGACAACCACATACATGTCCCCCATTACTAAAGGATCATTGCAGGCTGTCAGTCTTAGACATGAAAAATGCACCACAGGCGCCTTAAGCGATATGTTTGTTAATGTCAGACAAATGCATACGTATTTCTTATTACTAAAGGATCATTATAGACTCCGAGCCATCGGCATGACAAACAACAGTAATACTACCATTTTTATCATTATAATCTTCGATTAATTAACATGGTAAGCAGTAGTAATCATGCTTCTTTGCACCATAATGGAATTAAATGTGCAAGCGCATACATGTCCCCAATTACTGAAAGATCAAGTAAGGCTCCCCCATCAATTGATGATCATTAATTATAAACTCCAGTTGATAAACTATGCCAATAAGTGACACGTTTTAACACCACTGTACATTCTTAGCATTATATCCACATATTAGGGGTACCGTATGTATCTTTCAAACAAAAATAAAACATAAATTGACTCACCAATTATACTGTAAAAGGTTTCGCTATTTCTGGATTTCAGTCATCGATTGGACAGCTGCAAAAGAAAATAAACTTGTTAATTCCTTAATTAATTGTTCTATTGTGATTCGAATTTCTCGCAGTAGTATATGTATAATATCCGTCTACATATAGAAGGTCACATAGAAAAGAAAGATCGAAGAAAACTGTCTGTAGAAATAATTTTAACTGAACGTCGGCATGTAACCGGCCCCAAACAGACAAAAATAAACCAAAATCGAACGAGGGGGGTTCCCGCCCGTTCGACATAATTTGAAATGTGTTGTTCATATATACATCTGTGTATAAGTAAGAAGCGACGGTCTGACAGGGTTGCAGACACATGGGGGAGAGGGGGCGTATTCTTGACCTTATACTCACTGTTCAGGCTTAACAATATCCTTCTCTCTGTTTATCATCGTTTAATAGTGAGTGGACTGAATAAGAAAAAACTTGAATACAGAACAGATGAGAACGACGCACACCTTGTTGGCTGTTCACGCACACACACAATCGCATACACATGTCCTAACATGTCTGAGGTCCATTCATGTTATTACGAGACGCGGGGATCGAGATAGTTAGATATTTGAATACAACGAAAGATTCTCTTCCTTTGGTAAACAAATTTGTTTTCTCGAATTTAAACGGATGTGATGAAGAAGGTGGACGAAGATAATAATCTACACAGTACCTACTATTATATTTATATAAACGTTTTAGACGAATTATTATCTTAGAAAGGTTATAACTGAACCACAACCCCTTAAAAATCTTACCACCGAAGTACCTAATAAAAAACCCCCTGTACCTTAATGTATTTGCATTTCAATATTATAGAACACTTGTTTATCGGTCTAAAAACCATCAAAAGAACCATGAAAATAATGAAACAATAGTGTTCTTCTTATTACCGAAAATGGTCCTATGTCAACCTCTTGAAAACTTTGGATGCTGGTTGTTCTCCACGTATAGATCAAGTCACAATGGGCGCTAAGTCGTAAAAACTCACCTATTTGAGTTATGATCCTTTAAAGCTGCACTCTTCCATAAGGACTTCCAAGGTACAATTATACCTGCCTGCTATACGTATTGAATATATGCATTGCATATCGGGCCAGGGATGATAATGAAATTTGTAAAAGTGTAGTGCACCCCGAGGTTATATTGTACTTATGGAGAAAGTTGGTGCACTCAGGGGTGTAATCAAACATCAACACAGAATATACAACTTAAATGTATATGAAAATACAAAAAACCTTGGGTATTTCATCCCCACCAGCCACTAATCCCTTCGGACTAAGCCGGAAGGTAAGGCGGAAAGCCCTCTTCAGCCTCCTCTCAGGAATCGTGGATGGGTGGGTGGTGGTTCGGGTGAGAAAGATGAGACGGACGAAATGAAGACAGAAGAGAATGAAAGATTATCTGTGGAATATTACTGCCCTAGCATTTTCCTAAGTGATCCAAGGAAACTACAGAAAAACTTGGACTGAGGCAGACGGATCCGGAATCGAACCGGCGTCTTCCCGGATGCTAAGCAATGGTCTAAACCTCTAAGAACATACATATATCTATATACGTACCCTATAATAGATATAATTGTATCTTACGACTTAGCGCCCGTTGAGATTTTTGATTTACACGTCGAGAACTATCAGAATCCAAAGTTTCAAAGAATTTGATAGAGGGTCATTTTCCGTAAGGATCTAGCGGAGTGTTATATGTACTTCTACATTGATTTTATCTTACAATTGGCATGCTCAAAATTTTATATACGTTAATTGATTCAAAGCAATAACTAAATAGCGTAAAAAGAACTGATTCGCTGCACCTGTTACAGCTCCATCTAACCCGCATGTCTTCTAACTATCAGAGATGATTTACAATGATATGAATCTTAGCCTTAGGTTACACAGTAACAAACACTTAAAACCATAGCCAGCACCTTAGATTGAGATTCATCTCGATCCCTGGTTGCATATCGCATTTAAAGGTCCATGTCATTCTAACCTACCTCTAACAATTTACAGCAATTAAAATGTATTGCATAATAGTACATATCCTTTTTTATGTTGATTTTATAAATGATTTATTTTTTTGCCTCTCTTATTGCTAAATGTTACAAACAAATTTTACTTGTAGTGTGAATATAAACAATTACTCCATTTATTTTTAGTTAATATGTGCGCATATTTTACACGAACAGTTAGTCATTTCATTCGGAGTTCTCGACAAATTAATTCCTCATATCTCTTTTTATCTAGCACTAACCGTGGATGGGAATGTGACTCATTAAGTCTTTAGTTGGCCTTCATTATCATTACGAATTTTACAAACGACGCGATTATGTGTAAGGAATGTTAAGTTGGAAGGTGAATTATTCGCAATCTACGCAAAACACTCTTTGTGTATACAGGATGATATTCCACCACAGATATTTAAAATTCCACGTTTTTAAATAAAATATTTCAATGTGTTTTGAACTTGTATATAATAAATACTTTTACTGTCTTTTAAAATGATGGACGATTAACAAAATTAAAATAAAGCGTGTTGAATGTATGATATTGAGCGATGAAATTGAAGAAATAATAAATTGGACATAAATGTTGCATACACACTCTATTCCTGAAGGAATTTGGCGAGTTATACAGTCTCTCCGATCTACACGAAAATGTGGAAACTGTGGAGCTTAAGGGTAGGACGAAAGCCTCCTATTAGGATTTATAGGAATTGATACGTGGTAGCCCATGATACAGGCGAAATGAGGATAAAAAAGGATAAAATTATCTGTGGAATATTATTCCCCTAAGATCTAATTTCACATAGGAATATAAATACAGCGTAAACTCTATATAACGACACTTGAGGGACTGAACATTTTTCGGCGTTATAAAGAGTGGTCGTTAAATGGAGAGAAATAAAAGATATTATACTATTCTATAATAATATGCATTTACTAATATAGTACACATTTTGCACACGAAAATTATTATTCATACATTGCGTATAGCCTGTTATCTTCGTCTGATGGTTTTTGCTGCTCCAATATTTTAATTGTATTTTGTTACGTATCTTACTCATATCTTGAGATACTGCCGGATCAATTTGATTATATAAAAAGTATTTTTTTAATAGTTTCGCTGCATGAAGTGCTTGTTTGATGCTTGGTGGAGGGACAGGATCGTCTTCTTCAACAACGTACACAGCTACAGTTCTTATCTATTTCGGCAACTTAGAAAGTACTGCTTAATGATTAATAATGCCGCATTGTTGTCGTTAAATAGAGTGAGCGTGACGCTATATAGAGTGTAATATTGTATAGAAAACAATGTAAACCAACCAAAGTCGAGCAATTTCGACGTTTTAAGGAGTTTGTCGTTAAATCGAGTGACGTTATAAAGAGTTTACACTGTATGTCCAAAACGACAACGTTTCTTAGTTTGTCATTTGACTACTACCATACTAAATTCGATTAGAACACGTCGTAAACCTTACTTAATAACCTGTTCGTAAACAGGCAATAGGAAAATAGAAAAGAGAACCCACAACAAGAGAACAACACCGGCGAGAACAACAACAACAACGACGACAACGACTAGAAGAAGAATAACAGTTTGCGATGGTGTCAGATGTGGTCTCGGTCGCCGGGGTCTAAGGACCTGAAGCATCATCTCCACACTGGGCAACATCAGCAAGCACCAGTATCGGCACTGGCACTGGCATTGACATCACCACCACCGGCAGCAATAACTAACGGTCATCAGCTTTGCTTTGGTCACGAAATGCGTTATCTCCATGTGAAATCTACGTTTACTTTCGTAATATTCCTCCAAACTATAACAATTTCAGACTTGGTTCTCGATATAGGTAAGTTTTCTCCAGTGTGCAATGTGCAACATAGAGAAACGTATACATAAAAGCACACAAGCTCGCTCGGTCGGCGGAGACGATATGATATGATGCACGTTCTCCATTCTCGAAAAATGTCACCGGGTTTTGCAACAAGAAACCAGTTACGGTACACAGATGCATGTGTATACCTAATACGTACACATAACTTCTGTTTTGAGAAAGCTGTAAAAGCTTAAAAAAAAAATGAAATAAGCAAGAGCACGAAACAGAAAAACTTCAGCAAGCACCTCTATGTATATTCAACTGACAACAACAATAATTGTTTCGACCATTGAGGAGCCTTTGCCAAAAATTAAACTGGTATAAGTTGTGGTAGTAGGTCCATCCAGCATCATTATCATCAACATGTAGTAGTACAGAGTTAATCTTTGCATTTCCCAGAAATGCGAGCTTCAGACATTTCTATCTACCTGTCCACAGTAGTTTAATCTAAGGCTATATCTTCCTGGCTCATCCTATCTCTCGTTTTCTTTACTGGCTTCCATAACGCTCTTTGATCTGCTCCTCTTACTGCCTCCTCATTTGTACCCCTTTTTATCTATAACGTCATACCTTAAACACTTCCAATTTCTCCATTTCCGCTAGGTCTCAATTTCCATCAACATGTAGTACTACAGAGTTAATTTTTGCATTTCCCAGAAATGTGAGCTTCAAACATTTCTATCTACCCGTGGACAGTACCTTAATCCAAGGCAATATCTTCCTCTCCATACTCCTACTTCTGATTATACTACTGTATCCCGAAATAGCCCCCCCCATGGCTCATCCTATTTCTCGTTTTCTTTACTGGCTTCTAAACGCCCTTTGATCTACTCCTCTTACTGCCTCCTCATTTGTACCCCTTTTTATCTATAACGTCATACCTTAAGCACTTCCAATTTCTCCATTTCCGCTAGGTCCCAAATTCCATCATGATGTAGTACTACAGAGTTAATTTTTGAATTTCCCAGAAATGTGAGCTTCAGACATTTCTATCTACCTGTCAACAGTAGCTTAATTTAAGGCTATATCTTCGTCTCCATATTCCTGCTTCTGATTATACTACTGTATCCCGAAATAGCCCCCCCCCATGGCTCATCCTATTTCTCGTTTTCTTTACTGGCTTCTAAACGCCCTCCTCTT